TAGTAAAGCACCTTGTCCCCATATTGATGAGGACAAGGATCTCATCCCCACAACTCTTGACTGGTGGTTGTGAGATATTATTAGGATTTTAATAAAGGATTGTATGTATGGTGTGTGTGTGTGTTTATTAACTATTTTATCCTGTTTGCTACTGGAGCGCTTTTTGACACACAGGTTCAAAAAAAAGTTTATTCCTAAAAATTAGTTAACACCCCCACCCGAAAAAAATATTTTCTGAATGCAGCGACACTGGCGAGTAAAACGGTGGTAGTTCCAATTATTTATTGCACATGAAATTAGTGCAAAGTTTTAGTAAGCAATAGTTTTCAGTAAAAAATACACTTACGTTAATTTTCGTGCACACACAAACGCAACAAATAACTTATTTTCAGATAAAATATAAAATTGTGTTAAGTTGACACCAAACATATCAAGCCTTAAAGTTGTGCAGGTTCATGTAATGGTAACAAACTTTGGTGCTCAAAATGTTCTATAAACAATAAAAGCTTCTATAGGATTTAAAAGCTCTAACAAGTCATCACTTTAGAGTTAACTGTGAATAATAGCCCTAGAACTGTTGCTGTCACCATGTCCTGGTATATTCATGTACATGGTGGGGAGGTTTCAACATTTTTTCTGGGAGTTCACTTAACTCTATTTAGTTTTTTCTTTGGCTTAACTTTATTTCTATCACTTAGGAGACAGTAGCCCCCTATGTAATAACATATATACTGTGATAGGTTCTGTTTAATTAGACATTGTGGGTCTGTTAGACCTTTGATGCCTTTCCTGCACTCTGTTGAAGATAATGGAAAACAGACCATGTTCCATTAACTTTTTCCCTGGCTAAAACAGCTAGGAAATACGTCAGTAGAAAGTGAAAAAATCCTTTTTGTTAGGGGAGATCAGCGTATGGACTTTCACTGCTCGCCCTCACCTGGTGACACTTACAATACAGAGGGCTTACACTGGGAGGCAGTGGACCTTGTGGGGTTCTGTGGAAGTCATTGGACATCTGTTTTGCTGCCCAATCACTCCCATCTGAAAGCTGACAGCTGGCTTGTCAGATTTACAGACATTGCAGGGTTGATTTACAAAAATTAGAGAGTGTAAAATCTGGTGTAGCTCTGCACAGAAAAACCAATCAGCTTCCAGGTTTTTGTCAAAGATTAATTGAACAAGCTGAAGTCAGAAGCTGATTGGCTATCATGCACAGCTGCACCAGATTTTGCACTCCCCGGTTTTAGTAAATCAATCCCTATGTGTAAACTTCCCCACTGCCGCTGATCCATGGCACCCTCTTCTCTTACAGTTCTTCTGAATTTAGCTAAAAATGTACAAATCTGGATAGACATTTCAAAAAAAGTATAAAAGTTAGCACAATTTGGACATTTAGGGTTTTGTTCTGATCCATACAATCCTGTGGCTTTAGTCACTGCCCAATTGGCACCATTATTGTAATTACTACCTTGCCACCTGCACCTCTAATATGAGAACTCTGCCATGTTTGCACCTTCATAGTAGTCATTTTAATTAACATAATCAGTGATATTATCTAAAGGGAACTAATGAGGAGAATTGTATGGGAGACGTTATTGCTGCTCTGTTTTTAAAGGTGGAGGTTATAAGGCCATCATCTTAACCACTTGCCCTCCAGAGCATTTACCCCCCTTCATGACCAGGCCATTTTTTTTGTTACGGCGCTTGTTACTTTTAACTAACAATTGCGCGGTCATGCAATGCTGCACCCAAATGAAATTTACGTCCTTTTTTCCCCATGAATTGAGCTTTCTTTCGGTTGTATTTGATCGCATGTGTGTTGTTTATTTTTTGTGCTATAAGCAAATAAAGACCGACAATTTTGAGAAAAAAAACAATATTTTGGGTTTTTTGCTATTACCCTTTTCCCGCCCAGCCTATGGCCAGATGGTGGCAGATGTACCTCAGACATGGCCAATGACAGATCTGAGTACCGGCCCCGTTGCCAGTACCATGTGACCTGCTGTGACCAATCACAGCAGGTCACATGACAGTTGTATACATTCATGCCATCCTTTGTATACTAGTGTGCCTAGCTGTGAATGGTCACAGCAATCACATGCACAAGCTGGACCAATCACAGCCCAGCTGTGTCATGTGATTAGCCATGGCCAAATCACAGCTAAGCACAAAAAAAAAAAAAACCCTGAATGAATCGATGTCATTCAGGTAAATGCTTGCTTATAACAAAGTAATTCTTTGCTATAAGCATATAGTTTAAAAAAAATGATAATAATGATCACTTCCCCAAAGTAGTACAATGTTACTATGGTAACATTGTACTACTTTGGTCAGAGTGAAATATGAAAACAAAATCTTAAAAAAAAGAAAAGGAAATGTAATAAAAATTAAAACTAATAAAAAAAATTTAAAATTTTTTTTAAAAAATTATAATTTTTTTTTCATACTGTCACCAGTCAGTGTCCCTGATCACCACCATGCCAGTTATATGATGACGCTGTACTGCACTGGTGACAGTATGTAAAAAAAAATAGTGAAAATAATTTTTACATTTTTTAATTTTCTGAAAAATTATGACAAAAAAATTATAAGTTCAAAAAAAAATACGTCGGACTGTCTACTTTGCAAAAAGGGGTAATTTGGGGGATATCTGTACTGTTCTGACATTCTTGGCCCTCAAGAAATTAGATTGGCTGTCAGGACTTCAGGATTGATCAATATTCAGATCTATACCATAGTTTGTTAACTCTGTTACTTTCCTACAAACTAAATAATAAATCCTAATTTGGGTTATTTTCACCAAAGACATGTAGTAGAATACATCTCGGCCTAAATTTATGAAGAACAATTATTTATTTGCAAACTTTTATAACAGAAACAAAGAAAAATGTGGTTTGTTTTTCAAAATGTTTGGTCTTTTTTTGTTAATTTAGCAAAAAAATAAAAACCCCAGCAGTGATTAAATACCACCAAAAGAAAGCTCTAGTTGTGTGAAGAAAATGATAAAATTTTTGTTTGGGTACCATGTTGCATGACTGCGCAATTGTCATTCAAAGTGTGAGAGCGCTGAAACCTGAAAATTGGCCTGGGTAGGAAGGGGGTAAAAGTGCCCTGTATGGAAGAGGTTAAACATGTCCAGTAAAAAAAATAAAAAAAATCAAATTTCATCATAAATTTAGGCCAAAATGTATTCTGCTAAATGTCTTTGTTTAAAAAAATCCCAATACGTGTAAATTAATTGGTTTACGTGAAAGTTATAGCATTTATAAATGGAGGTATTGATAATAAGATTTTTTTTTCTACTAGTAATGGCGGCGATCAGCGACTTTTAGCGGGACTGCGGGACTGCGGGACTGCGGCGGACATTCTTTTTTTTCTGTTATTAACAATTTTTATTGGTTTTCACACATATATATATATATATATATATATATATATATATACATACAAGCAGTAAATTGAAAAAGGAGCACAGGAAAAAGAGGGAGCACATCGATGGTGAAATCTGCATGGTTACAAACAAAATGTCACATAGCAACAGTGGAGAGGTCATCAGAACCGTACGTTAGGAGAAAGGTGGGAGGAGGTGAAATTATCCCATGGGTGCCACACTGCCTCAAACACAGCAATCGAGCCAGGCATGTATAGCAGTCAGGCATTCCATCTGTCTCACATCAGCAATAATTTGAAACAGAGTTGGCATCAAAGGAGGTATAGAGGATAGCCAGCACATAGGAATGCTTCTTCTAGCCGCTGTCAGAATATGTGCGGTGAGTTTCCTGGCCCTCTTGGGAAGACCTGGGAATGGCAGGCTCAATAAAAAGTATAGGGGCTCAAAGGGGAGAGAGGTATGCAATAGCAATTGTAAAAAGGACAAAATCTCTTCCCAAAAGGGAACGATGGATTCACAAGTCCAAAAAATGTGGAAGAGGGAACCAAGGTCTTTCCCACAACGCCAGCAGGCGGAAGAAGCATTCAGGTTAAAGGCATGCGGTGGACATTCTGAGACTGGGGGGAACTAACTTGGTGTCACTGACAGCCCAGTGACACCAATACAATGATCAGGGCTAAAAAAAAAAAGCACTGACACTGTAGTAATGGCACTGGGCAGGAAGGGGTTAATATGAGGGTCAATCAAAGGGTTAACTGTGTGCTATGTGTGTTTTACTAGGGGGCGTGTTCTTCACTGTAAGCACACTGATCGGGATGGCCAGGGGTGGAATGACAACTCATGGGCCCCCGGGCAATAGGGGATCATGGGGCCCCTGTGTCCTTGCCCAAACTTAAAAAAGCCTATGAAAAAGGTATCAGGATCTCATGGGGCCCCCTACTGACCCTGGGCCCTCGGGCAAAGCCCGAATTTCCAAATGGTCAGTCTGCCCCTGGGGATGGCTGTACTGTGCACAGCCATCCTGAGCAGTGTGCTCAAGCTGACAGGGAGGAAGATTTTTGTAAACAAAACACTCTTCCTCCCCATCGGAGATGCTCGGTAATCAACGGGCGACGGCAGGTAATTACTGGCCGGGACTTGGTGATTGACATCCATAGCCCTGAATGGCGGTGCAGGTGGCTTGCATGCCCCCCCACGAAAAATGTGAAATCACGTATATATACGTGATTCTGCGCACAGGTGTCGCCCTGTAGCAGTATATCTGCTACAGGGTGGTCCTTAACCGGTTAATAATATTTTTGTTACCCATTGGGATTCCTTAACTAAAGGCAAACAGGCTATTTCATTTAGCAAGGAAATTTTATCTTAGCTTAGTGAATGCAGTGAAAATGTATTTTGGAAAGAATGCCCAAAATGTGCAAGGGAAAAAAAAACAGTATTATTTTGTGCTTGTGTTTGGAAGATGGAAGTAAGCAGAGTTTCACCTCCTTCACTAAGGCAAAGTCCTGTATACACGCTGGGAATATTGGACGAATGATTGTCCATTTTATTTTGCTTGCAATCTCATATCAAAAGTGAAGAGGGAAGAAGTTACGAAAATTCTCCTACGACCAGGGACGGACTGACCATTTGGAAACCCTGGCACTGCCCGAGGGCCCGGGGTCAGTAGGGGGCCCCATGAGATGCCCCTGGTACCTTTTTCATAGGCTTTTTTGAGTTTGGGCAAGGACACAGGGGCCCCATGACCCCTATTGCCCGGGGGCCCCATGAGTTGTCAGTCCGCCCTTGCCTACAACTCAATAAAAATTCAAAAGTGATGTAATGTATTTGTATTGTATTTTCGGCCGAAAAACTGTACTGGTTAAATGAAAAATTGTACAATCTGGTATTGTATGCCAAAAACATTCATGCTTGTCCCTTCGAATAACTTCGTATGCTGTGTACTAATGATCAGATTATCGTACGATTGCTTCAGATGTGGTATTTTTCATACGATTTTCTGATCATGGCTTAAGTCTAGTTTTACACCTATACGTTTCTGCTGCATTTCACATTTTACAGAAACGCACTACAGTCCATTTAACATGATTTCCTATGGGATAGGTTCACATCTATGCATTTTCATCCAGTCAGTTTTTATGGAAAGGGTCAGGGACTTTTTTAAATGCAAAATGTTGTGTTTTTGGTTCTATAGACTTCAATGGAGACACTGCAGAAAAGCATGTAGCGTGTTTTTGGTGCGTTTTTTCATTTTATTCCGCCCAGCAACAAGTTGAAAAAAGGAAAAAATGCAAAACGCATACAAAAGGCTGCAAATATGCATCAAAAAAGTGCAAAAATGCAAAACGCACTGCAAAAAGCACTGCGAAATGGATAAAACACAAACTGCATACGTGTGAACCTAGCCTCAGGGAGAATGTCCATGCAAAGTGCAAATTCCTTCGCAAAGACAACAGCCTATTTGCTGTCAGTGTATCAGCCCTATTGAGCCTTATTCAGTACTGAAGCTTAGACTTTTCAGACTTCATCGGATGTAGACTTGTTCAAAGTCAGGAATTAAGAAATTAGGATCAGGATGACATCCCTAGAGCCTGTTCCTTTAAAGGATAAGTTCACCTTTGGGAATATGTTACATGACCTTTTCAGGGTGGAACATGTAACATGTTTCCAAAGCTGCAGCCACTGCCGACCCCCCTCCCTCTGATAGATATGGGGAGACTTCACCCCGTACTATCTGTCAAATGTGAAAACAGCGCAGCCATGCGGGGCTCTGTCCACACGGTTGCATCATTCATTCACTTCCTTCCGTGAATGAATGAACTGTAAGTCCCAGCATCCTTAGCGGCTGTCAACTTGTAGTTTTCAGAGAACTGCCACCGTGCTGTGGAGGACCCGTGGTAGTTCATTGAATCTTCCTGTCAGCAAATCTGCTTGTTCATACATCCCGTGCAAGTAAACAGATATTCCGACAGGTCTGCAGGAGACCTGCATGGCATCAGTGATCTACTGATCTCTGTTGCAATGCTTTACAGGTTCCTGCAGACAAAAATAATAAACGCACATTTTTTTACCTGCAAAAAAATGTGCATTTATTATTTTTGTCTACAAAGTGGGTTTATCCTTTAACCACTTGGCAACCGTGCTATAGCCCAATGAGGGCTACATCATGGTTGTCACAATTCTGGGAGGGCGTCATATGACATCCTCCCAGAATGCGCCCTCTCACGCGCCCCCAGCGGTGCGCACTCGGCGATCTCTGTGATCACTGTGTCCTGCAGACACAGCTAATCATGTGATGTGGTAAAAACCAATCACAGCAGCCTTTTACCACGTGATCAACTGTATCCAATGACACAGCAGATCGCCGGGTAAATGCAGTTGCCAGTCAGTCACAGTGCGAGGAAAGTGCTGCCGATATCTGGCAATTGTCAGAAAATAGATCGGAACTGATCATCATGGCGCTGATGATCAGTGCCCTGATGATCAGTGCCCAGCAGTGCCACCCACCTGTACCCAGCAGTGCCACCCACAAGTGCCAAGCAGTGGCACTCAGCAGTGCCCAGCAATGCTGCCAGTCAGTGCCCATCAGTGCTGCCAATCAGTGCCGTCATTCATTGGCACCCATCAGTGCTGCCCATCAGTGCCTCCTATCAGTGCTGCCTATCATTGGCCATCATTGCTGCATATCAGTGCAGGATCATCAGTGCCAGTTCATCAGTGCTGCCTATCAGTGCCCATCAGTGCTGCTTATCAGTGCAGCCTCATCAATGCACATCAATGAAGGAGAAAAATAACCTGTTTGCAAAATTTTATAACAGAGACAAAGAAAAACTTTTTTTTAAATTTTTTTCCCTTTTTTTGTTTATAGCGCAAAAAATAAAACACCCAGTGGTACATACCACCAAAAGAAATCTCTATTTCTGTGAAAACAATTATACAAATTTCAGATGGGTGCAGTGTCGCGCAAATGTCGTTCAAAGTGCGACAGCGCTGAAAGCTGAAAATTGTCCTGGGCAGGAAGGGGGTATAAGTGCCCGTTAGGCAAGTGATTAAACACCTTTAAATCACCAGTGGCAGCTCCCCTATTTCTGTACACACAAGATCCCTTTTCTAAGCTGCACAGTTGCCAAGTTCAGTGATGGTAAACTGCTGCACAAAGCAAAAATGTATAGCCCTTTTAAATTTCTTAGTGATGACCGTCATTTGGAAAAGAAAAATGAATGGTTTCGCAGACAATTCCCTCCTTGGCAGATGGTGTCAGCAATAGCAGCAAATGACCATTACATTTATAAAAAAACAAAATGATTTGCAAATGTTTCAAATCATAAAAAGGAAAAGAGACAGATGTGGTGTGTATGCAATGCTGAAAATGTACAGCGATCATCATACTAATGATGAAGATTAAATGCTATAAAGGATAAGGGTATTGCTCAAATGTTCGACAATAGATCACATATGTTTATTGACTTTCGAGCACTGTACAAGCTCATGAACAAGCATATGTTAGTATAATTATTACACCTACTTGTGCTCTAAAACATGTGGAATAATACCCGAGTGCATTATTAATATACGCTGCACCTGTTGATGTGATAAGCATATGATTCCAACACACTCAGATGGAGGCAATATGCAGTCTGTTTTGTGACCTCAAATGACTCTCACAGCAAGAAATCATTCTGATGCTTGAACTGATGAGTTTGTTTTTCTCTCATAACATTTAAAAGGATTAATGTGAATGGAGTTATAAAGGGTAGACTTGCTAGAGCCTGTAATTATGTTTCATTTCTCCTCAAAATGTATTGTAATGCTGAAACAGGACAATGGGTTTTGAGTTTTGCATTAACCACTTCAGCACCAGAGTCAATTCTACAGTTCAGCTATGGGCAGGGGTGGACTGATCATTCGAGCACTCGGGCACAGGTAAGTAGGGGGCCCCATGAGATGTCCCTGGTACCTTTCATAGGCTTTTTTGGGTGTGGTTTGAGTGTGGGCAAGGACACAGGGGCATCATGATCCCCTATTGCCTGGGGGCCCCATGAGTAGTCAGTCCACCCCTGGCTATGGGCTTACATGTATGCCAATAACTTTTTTTAATACTTATGACAAAAGAATAGTTTAGATGCTTTTTGGTAGTATTTTTTTCAATAATTATTATTTTACAGCTGCACTTCGTATTCTCTTCACCTCCTTACTGGTTAAGCTTTGCTCTGGGGTTCCTCAGCCAATGTTGACATAAAAGTGTTACTAAACCCACAACAGTAAAACCAGTCTGTATATGCAGCAAAGCATGCTTGTTATACTTACTGGGGAACCTAAGCGGCAATCCTCAGTAAAGGCTGTTTGATCCTGTCTTCTCTGATCTTCCCCTTCTTCCTGTATCCGCCTCTTATTCCCTGTTAAGACATATTGTATGGAGTCACTCTACACATGCTCATTTTGGTGTGTATTGCTAGAGAGTTTTTTTTATCTTTGGGAGGGTGCATGTAATCAGCACAGGGCCAATGAGCACTGTTTTATCCTGCCTTCTCTGATCTTCCCCTTTTTCCAGTATGCCCCTCTTATTCCCTGATAAGACATATCATATGGGGTCACTCTACACATGCTCAGTTGGTGTGTATTGCTAGAGAGTTTTTTTTATCTTTTGGAGGGTGCATGTAATCAGCACCAGCACCAGGGGCGGACTGACAACTCATGGGGCCCCTGGGCAATAGAGGATAATGGGGCCCCTGTGTCCTTGACCAAATGCCAAAAAGCCTATGAAAAAGGTACCAGGGGCATCTCATGGGGCCCCCTACTGACCCCAGGCCCTCAGGCAGTGCCTGAGTTTCCAATTGGTCAGTCCGCCCCTGATCAGCACAGGACAAATCAGCACTGTTGGATCTTGTCTTCTTTGATCTTCCCCTTCTTCCAGTATCTCCTTCTTATTCCTTGATAAGACATATCGTATGGAGTCACTCTGCACATGCTCATTTGGTGTGTATTGCTAGAGAGTTTTTTTTTATCTTTGGGAGGGTGCATGTAATCAGCACAGGGCCAATCAGCACTGTCCAGACAGAGGGTCAGTGGTTATGCAGCCTCATAGGACAGTCAGAGCAGAATGAAAGCTCCTTCTACTGAAAGCTCCTTCTAGCTTGAACCAGTGCTCATCTGGACACTGATAGAGTGACACAAAGTCACAAGACTGCTATATACCGCTGATGAGAAAAGGTATTTAGCAGTTTATATTTACTAAAATAATTGCATTTGCATGTTCTATGTACTGTGGGAGACCAGATATAGTGAATGCAGGGTCCTGGGTTTAATAACACATATGTAGGAGCCTGTTATAAGGTTCAGCTAATACTCCATGATCCTGGTGAATGCCAGAGTTTCTCTTTAACAAAATCCTATACAGTTGTGACCAAAATTATTCAACCCCCACTGAAATTGAGTGTTTTGGCCAGTTTGACATTGCTTTTGATCATTCAGTCATCTTGCTTACATTTACATTAAAGAGGCACTTGTAGGTCAGACAAATATAACATAACAGTTATAATGAAATAACCACAAATGTCTTTTCTGTGCTCACAGCATTATCAGTTTTATTCAACCCCCAAGTGACATTCAATCTTAGTACTTAGTACAGCATCCTTTTACAGTTATAAACAGCTTTTAAACGTGAAGCATAGCTTGACACAAGTGTCTTGCAGCGATCTACGGGTATCTTCGCCCATTCTTCATGGGCAAAGGCCTCCAGTTCAGTCACATTCTTAGGCTTGCGCACTGCAACTGCTTTCTTTAAGTCCCACCAGAGGTTCTCAATCGGATTTAAGTCTGGTGACTGCGATGGCCACTCCAAAATGTTCCAGCCTTTCCTCTGCAACCATGCTCTAGTGGACTTGGAGGTATGCTTGGGATCATTGTCCTGTTGAAAGGTCCAACGTCTCCCAAGCCTCAGGTGTGTGACGGACTGCATCACGTTTCCATCCAATATCTCCTGGTACTGAAGAGAATTCATGGTACCTTGCACACGCTGAAGCTTCCCTGTACCTGCAGAAGCAAAACAGCCCCAAAGCATGATTGACCCTCCACCATGCTTCACAGTAGGCAAGGTGTTCTTTTCATCATAGGCCTTGTTCTTCCTCCTCCAAACATAGCGTTGATCCATGGGCCCAAACAGTTCTAATTTTGTTTCATCAGTCCACAGAACACTATCCCACAACTTTTGTGGTTTGTCCACATGGCTTTTGGCATACTGCAGTCGACTCTTCTTATTCTTTGGAGACAGCAAGGGGGTACGCCTGGGAGTTCTGGCACGGAGGCCTTCATTACGCAGTGTGCGTCTTATTGTCTGGGCTGAAACTTCTGTACCCACATCTGACAAATCTTTTCTCAGTTCCTCAGCAGTCACACGGGGACTTCTCTCCACTCTACGCTTCAGGTAGCGCACAGCAGTCGAAGTCAGCATCTTCTTTCTGCCACGACCAGGTAGCGTTTCAACAGTGCCCTTTGCCTTGAATTTGCGAATGATGCTTCCTAAGGTGTCTCTTGGTATGTTTAACATCTTTGCAATCTTCTTATAGCCATTGCCCTTCCTGTGAAGAGAAATCACCTCTTCTCTTGTCTTCCTGGACCATTCTCTTGCCTTCACCATGTTTGTAACCACACCAGTAAATGTCTAGAAGGAGCTGAGTATCACAGTCATTTTAAAGCTGCCTAATTGGTGCTTATTATGCTTGATTGCTGCTCGGTGACATCCACAGGTGTTTTCAATACCTGATGGAAAGCACCTGTATGAACCTCTGTTCTTCAGAGTGGTAGTCTTTAAGGGGTTGAATAATTGTGGCAATGAAGAAACCACATAAGAACCATTTACTACTGTATTACATAAACAATTGATGTCATTTTAGTTGCATTTGGGTAGTTACAACGTCCTTGTAGGATTTGATTCTGAATACAATTCCAAATGTACACTATAGTCCCTAAACCCCTTTACAGCATTGGGGGTTGAATAATTTTGGTCACAACTGTACATAAGATGGCAGTCTTTATAACCATACAAATTCATATTGACCAATATTATGCATTTGGCAGACACCTTTAGTACCAGCTTTATCGCAAAGAAAAAAAAATGATCCATGTATAAAAGAAACAGGTTTTTATAGGTGTGTTTTAGTAACCCTCCTGCTTATTTGCTAAAGGAAATGATAAACATATGCGATCTTCCCTAATACTTCTTATGAAAGGTTATTCAAGGACATGTTGTGGTATCGTGTTCTGCTATTGGAGCTTAGCATACTGTCCTACAATTCCTCAATTAGCCACACATATAAACTATATTGCCAAAAGTATTGGGACACCTCTCCAAATACACCTCCATGGCCACAGGTGTATATCAAGCACCTAGGCATGCAGACTGCTTCTAAGAACATTTCTGAAAAAAATGGGTCACTCTCAGGAGCTCAATGAATTCAAACATGGTACAGTGATATATTGCCACTTGTGCAATAAGTCCATCCGTGAAATTTCTTTGCTACTAAATATTCCAGGGCCAATTGTTAGTGGTATAACAAAGTGGAAGCAACTGGGAACAACAGCAAATAAGTCACAAAGTGGTAGGCCACATAAAATGACAGAGCGGAGTCAGCACATGCTGAAGCGCACAGTGTGCAGAAGTTGCCAATTGTCTGCAGAGTCATTAGCTAAAGACCTTCAAACTTTGTCTGGCTTTCAGATTAGCACAACAGAGTGTTGAGAGCTTCATGGAATGGGTTTCCATGGATGAGCAGCTGCATCCAAGCCTTACACAACCAAGTGCAATGCAAATCGTTGGATACAGTGGTTGAAAGCACACCGCCACTGGATTTTAGAGCAGTGGAGATGTGTTCTCTGGAGTGATGAATCATGCTTCTTTGTCTGGCAATCTGATGGATATGTCTGGGTTTTGGCGGTTGCCAGGAGAACGGTACTTGCCTGACTACATTGTATCAAGTGTAAAGTTTGGTGGAGGAGGGATTATGGTGTGGGGTTGTTTTTCAGGGATTTGGCTTGGCACCTTGGTTCCAGTGAAGGGAACTCTTGAGGCGTCAGCATACCAAGACATTTTAGTCCATTTCATACTCCCAACTTTGTGGGAAAAGCGTGGGGATGGCCCCTTCCTGTTCCAACATGACTGAGCACCATTGCACAAAGCAAGGTCCATAAAGACATGGATGAGTGAGTTTGGGGTGAAGGAACTTGACTGGCCTGCACAGAGTCCTGACCTCAACTTGTTTGGGATGAATTAGAGACTGCGAGCCAGGTCTTGTAGTCCGACATCAGTGCCTGACCTCACAAATGCGCTTCTGGAAGGATGGTCAAACATTCCCATAGACACATGCCTAAAACTTGTGGATTTCCTCTGCCCCATGCAGGCCTTCCCGTTAGCCTGCACATTAACACAATGGCCTGTGTAATAGGTGTAGCCTCCTCTAAGGAGGATTGATTTGGAGGTACTGTCCATAGATTGGCTTTCCTGAACCTCCTCACAAGGGTTGCTGTCCCATTCTTCCGGTAGATTTTCCCAGCTGTCTTCCATACTGTGGATAAAAATATGTTTGTGTGAACCTACTTTTATAAAGAATTGGATGATTCTAAATAGTAGCTTATTTTCTAATTTCCAGGATGGGTCAGAGAAAGTCCAATTCCCTGCTAAGGATGTACTCCACCAGTGCAGCTCTCGAGCCAACTTTCACCTTTCTAAGTTGCTTCTTTTTCCATCCATGACCATCCTTCATGCTCTTCCATTTCACTTTAAATGTGCATGATGGCAAAAAAACTATAAACATTAATAAACTTATACTGATTTCACCTGCTTTGCTTTTGTGCAGATGATGTCTGTAAATGGACTTGACCTGCCTGAGAAGTGTTTACCACCAGGGAAAACAGATACTGCTCTGCCAAGTATAATTGTTGGGGGAGAGGCCTTTGCCATGGTTGAGCACCTGCTAAGGCTCTATTTATATCAATATTGAGTTTACAGAATAGGATTTGCAATTACTGGCACTCACAAGAAAAGGCAGAGTTGTGTAGTGTCCTATGGCATCCTTTCTACTGGTGAGTGTTGCACACTGCCCTTTGAACAAAAAATTATAGCATCCTAGGTTTCCTAACTAATTACACAAAAAATAACAGGGCTAGGCAGATATGCATATCAAAAATGTTTTCAATACTACAGTC